CGAGTACAGATGTTCATCCTTCACTTTGTACGACAGCTGCTACTCATACTCATTCAACGTGGCCACTAGACCACCCCAACAGGATGAGAACACCTTCCAAGTGTTTTTCTTATGACTCCCTGCCACCTCTTTGTTTGCAAACTAATAAGGCATCTGAGCCAACTTCCATAATAGAAAGTTGTGGTACCAAGTTTTTTAGGTCAGTGGAAACTTGCATGTCATGTTAGGTATGTCAACTACCATTTTTCCTGTATATGCACACACTTATTCTCTCTCTCCTGTTCAAGAGTTTACAAACTCATAGGTAAACATTCTTCTAATTTAGCCAAGAATTTCAAAAGGAGAGAGAGGAATAATAATATACACTATGAAGCTCATGAAGAAGGCAATAATGAAGGTATGGAGAGCTGCAGATGACTTGAGAGCCATCCTATTTCCCAAATTACTTACAGGATATTCATGTTGCATTAAACAAGCAGAGACTCTTTATCTGCTAATAAAAAAGGTAAACCTGTTCAGAGGATGGTGACAGTTTTAACAAGTTCTACAGAAAATAAAAATATCAGCAGTTAGACAGGTATGATGTGCTCTTTTTTCAAAATGTTAACCTTCACAGCTAGCATGCCTTGCTCACTTAATTGAGCTCATAAAAACCCACCAGGCCATTTCATTTGGAGCCATTGAAATTCCCCTCTAGACCAATTCTTTATAGTTTCAGAGCCTGGATTGGAAAACAGCCACAAAGAAGGCTGATGAAAAGGGTTTTTCAGCTCTTAGGCCCATATTTACAAAAACCTTACAATCTTGTTTGTTTACATGTTTTAAAATAGATGGAGTGAATAAACCAGGCAGGTTTTATTATTGCCATGGAGATGATGATGAGAATAAGAATATAATAATAATAATAACAAATGTGCTGAAGTAAGCAAGTTCCAAATAGCCTCAATAGCTTCCATACATCTTGTCTGTGACTGACTCAGTTAACCTCTCTGAGCCTACATAAGAGTTGGTTGTAGCATTTGCCACATATACTAAGTCAGTTTTGGCTAAAACACATATATTCTTTAGCCATATTGTTAGTCTCTCTAAATTGGACATAATGCCATATTCTTTACTACTAATGATTAGACTCCACTGAGGCTGAGTAAATGGATATTTATCGAAATTGAAATTGAAGACATAAATATTTATTAAAATTGAGCAGAAATGGAGAAAATGGAAAGGAATAATGAAAAAGAAATTGTGAGAGATACCTTAGATTCAAGCCACTGAGTGTGTGTTGTATCAAAGAAAAAAATGTCAGCTCCCATTGAGAAAAATACTTTAAAATATCATTTAAACTCTTCAGCAAACATTTCCATCATTTTAGGTTTAAAGTTCTTTGTGCATATACTTACTTTGTCTCTGGGCTATCTTTAATCGAACTTGAGAGTACAGCTGGACATCTGCAGCTTTGGAGTCAACCAAACACTGAAAAAAACCTGTTTCTATGTATCTGGATAGTTGTGGTGATCACTCTCTTAGTAAAGTACTTGGCTTGCTAGCATGAGAACCCAGGTTCTATTTCTAGAACCTTAATTAAAAACAAAAAAAAAATGGAGTGTTGTGGAAGTGGAGACTATTGAAATCTTCAGGGTTCGCTGGTCAGCTGTCTTAGCCAAGGATCTACACGCCATAGAGACCCTACCCCCAAAAAAAAACAAAATAAAAAATGGACAGAACCTGAAGAATGGCACCTGAGATTCATGTCTGGACTCTATATATATGCACACACATATGACACAGGATATTTGATCACACTCCGTGAAAGGCACCTCTCTGATTGGTTTGATAAAGTGTTAAGTGGGTGAATAGCTAGGCATGAGAAGATAGGCTAGACTTCCAGCAGAGATAGGAACTCCAGGAAGAAATATGAGAGATAAAGTCTTGCCAGGGAGATGTGGAGGAAGTTGAATATACATTTTGGAGGAGAGGGAACAGCCACATAGCAGAATGTAGATTAATATAAATGAGGTTAATTTAAGTTATAAGAACTAGTTACGAACAAGCTAAGGAAAAATTGTTTGTAATTAATAAGAAGTTTCCCTTTCATTATTTGGGAGCTCGCAGTATAAAAAGTCTGATTATACACATGTGTACATTTGTTTACCCACAAAACATTAGCACACAGACATGTGCACACACAATGCATTTATTATTGAACACATTTATACAATTTCCTATCATTATTTTCAAATTATAGAAATTAAAATTATCTATATAACATTGAGACTACATTAGGTATTATTCTAGTCTGGAGATGTTCCAAAGTATATTCGAGAAAGCTTATAGGTTCTACACAAATCCTTAGCATTTTAGATAAGGGACTTGAGTATCTGCAGGTTTGTTTTCTGCAGAGTTGTGCCAAGGATAGCCAGGGAGGATGATAGTTGCAGGATAATTTATCCTCCTATTTTCTCTCTTGGCAGCTCAGAAGTCTTCTGGAATCGATTGCTTATAGGGAAAATTCTTTAGGCCTTTTCACCTGAGTGTGGTACTATACTGGGACTGGGGCATCTCAAAGTCTGTGAAAGATTTTTGATGATGATGATGAGGACTTTGTAAACAAACATGGCCTGCTTAGAGATTTATGGATGTGGAAGGAACCAAGCTTGGTTTCTATTATTGATTTGGAATCTCAGATTTTTTTGTTGGATACCTGGACAAGTATAAGTTGGTAGGTGTGGGTCTTCTTTCCCATCCCTTGATTTGACCTTAACATGGTGCTGAGGACCAGCCTACTCTAGACACTGCAGTCTTATGAAAGACTCTTTGTTGGGTCAGGCTGAGAGGCAGAAATAAAATGTTAACTTTCTAAACTTGCTCTCCTAGATCTTTCTAAATGTAGCAAGACAGAGGTATAATTTCTCAGACCTCCCCTAGACAAAAGGTATCAGTGTTTTTCTTTGGCATTGGGAAAGGAGTGGAAGGGGTGCTGAGATTCTAATCCCCAGTTTGGAGTATCTGAGGCGATCACAGAGAACACTTGTCTTTTATGACAGTACAGTTCTCAGCATCCCTTTGGGATGCCTTTGACTCAGATTGTCTGGGAAACATAAAATCAGTCACATTTGGCAACACTCAATACACGGAGCATGGGAAACACAAATTAAAATAGATACTCCTTCAGTCACTAAGCTGTTTGGTTAAAAGTTTGCTTGGTATAAAGGGAATCATTACAAATGGGGGCTCCCAAGGGACCAGCTCCAGCTCAGGTTTGGTGAACTTCACAGGCCTGTTCAGTCTCTTCCAAGCTCAGCATCTTCATCTTCTTAGCTCAAAGTAAAGAAATCTTTAAATAAAGCCAAAGTAACAAGGGCTAGTCATTCTGAAATCACTTTCTTATTCTGCTCATAGGAATTCATAAATGCTTTTGAGGGCATTGGACATGATGTTCTGTTCCTGGGATAGTGGCAATCACTTTATCACTGGTTTTTGTTTGCTAAGGGAGACTGAACTTCGCCTAACAATTGCCTCTCATCTCTTGTTTAAGGCAGTAAATCAATCGGGGATCAAGTTTGAGACAGAGTGAATTATTACTGCATCTGTTATTCCATAGAAATCTTTCTTTTCTACTATGGAGAATCTAAGAGAACACATTGTCCCACCACTGTAAATGTCATTTTGTTTAATTCTAATATCTGTATAAAACATAAATAGTTACTAACTCAGATATATGGTCTCACATGCTTTTTTTCAAAGAGGCTGGCATCTCTGGGTTTGGATCACCAATATGCACAATATACTTCTTTTAATATGTATTTATACATTTCTTTGGTTTTGTTTTGTTTTCTTGTTGGATCCCATGTACCTCAATCTTACCATGTAAATGAGGCTGGCCTTGAACTCCTGATCCTCCTACTTTAGACTACTCAGGGCTGTGATGACTGGCTTGTGCCACCTTCCCTGGCTCCATTAGTGTTTATAAACTCCATTTTATGAAAAGGAGTCTCCTGGCCTGAGGAGTTGCCATTGTTCTGCACAACAGTGGGAGGTGCTGAAACTAAGGTTTGACCCACATGTCATTCACAACCTCATAGGATGCAGATGTGAGAAATGAAGGGAACTAGCTACATTCTCTGTATCTTTATCTCATGAGAATATGTATGAAACCCAGAGCAGGAAACTCCCTTTAACATGCTTGTCTTTCCAAGGAGATGGTAGACCAGAAAGCCGCAGTCATCCACGAGGACACATAGGATGGGTAATAGCCAAGACATTACAATTGGCCACACTTAGCTCTGCTCCAATAATAGTATCAATAGTTAATATTTATAGTGGTATGTATGAAGTGCCAGCTGCAAGTTAGGTACTGTCACTGACAAGTTCTTACCAACCAACTCTAAGCTCTGTCCCCAGACATACAGAACAGGGGGAAGTGCTACACAGAGAAATAAAAGTCTTCATTTAGTGCCAGTATTCTCTTTTGTTCCTTGAATGTTGAAAGAATTAGCATAGTGAATCCTCCTGCAAAAAGTGCCTTAACTCGCAACACACCATCCTATTATTCTGGCAAAGTTTGGGAACATAAATTGCTCAAATCTCATATACAAATATGCAATATCTTTGGCAGCAATACTTTGAAATTTATTCCTAATAGCTCATATTTAAGGTCTAAGAGAAGGAATGGAAGGATTAAGGCTCACAAACCTTCCTTGTCCTCTTTAAAGTAACTGACCTGCTTGCCCCAGACCAGTGAGGTACCCAACAGGAAGTAAAGCATGAGAGCAGATAGAATGAACAAGTACAGTTCTGTGGTTTGATTTATATAAATAACTTCTGTGGGAGAAGATGACTGTGGTCTGGGTAATGTTCATATCTATAAAACTCAAGAAACCTGAATGTAACCTGATATGCCCAGAGTTTTCTTGACCTGACTGTGTAATTCTGCTCTGAGTTATTTTGGTAGAGAGGAATTTATGATTGGAATCAGGCATGAGCTTACCCAGCGGAGGTCATGGTCAGATGGCCGTGCCTCGTCCCTCTTCATCTTCATACAAAGGGAACCCTTCTCTTCGAGCCTGATAATACTCCTTCCGAAGTTTCTGGATGCGGTCAGTGTTTCCAGCCATGGGACGGCCACTGTAGCACACAAATAGACATGGTCACATGGTGTATGTCAGCCTTGGGGAACCCCTTTCCTCTCCCTGTTAAAGGGCCTGACATCCAAATTTGAAAGACTTGACAATGTAATGCAAATGAGGAAAATGGTGAAATCAGTAATAAAAATGAGCAAAGAAGGAATAACACACACATACACACACACACACACACACGCACACACATTTAACTCCAAGGGTTAAGTCATCTGATTTTGGACTAATAAATGCTTTGGGAATGAGAAGGTAAGTTAATGTCCTGACCTTCTAGAGCAATTAAATAACTCACTACATTCTTTTTACAATCATATATACAGTGTTTGGTTAAATTTTAATATGGGTATCTCTTTCTTTCAGATGTCATTGCTAATTTCAGATCAAATCTCATTTGCTTGACCCAAAGGTTGGATGTGACAAATGATTGGCTGGCACGGATCAGCATTCTTTTCAGTGAAACTCAAGAACTTAGAATAAGAGAGAGTGACAGAGAGAGAGAAAGAGAGAGAGAGAGAGAGAGAGAGAGAGAGAGTGTGTACAGTGTGATTGCAGGACATAGGTCAATGTATGAGTAAAGAAAGACCATAGATAAAGAAAGATGGTGAAGTTTATGGCAATAAGGGAAACACATGGGTAGGGGAAGGTCTACAGCAGCTCAGTGTTCTAGTATGCTCCTTGTCCAAGGGCCATGTATATCTGTGTGAGCCATTGATTCTGCCTAAGACTTAGAGCTTGCCAAGTGCCACCTTGGGCAGCTAGTGGCCCCTTTTTAGTTTGGGTTTACTGGTTATTATTGTTTTTATCAGAACTAGGATAATGCTTATGTTTTATAATCCATCCTGGGGAGGCAAGAGAAAAAAGATATACAGGTCTGACCTGCCATTGAAACTCATTGATTCATTTAATGATTGACTGTCCCATTGTGCCAGACCTCACATTAAGATCTGGAGATGTAAAGATGAACATTTCATATTCTTTTCCTGAATGAATCTGCAGTGGAATAATCCCTTATATACTATAAAGATTTACCTCTCAAATTAGTATAACATGCTGATTATCCAGTAGCCAGACAGGAAATATGGGTAGGGTGACCAAACTAAGGATGATTGGAAGGAGAAGGGTGGACTTGAGAGCCCCCAGCCAGACACAGAGGGAACAGGAGATAAACATACCATGCTATTAAAGGTATTGCCGTGTGGCAAAGCATAAATAGAAATATGGGTTAATTTGAGTGTAAGAGCTAGCTAATAATAAACCTGAGCTATTGGCTGAACATTTATAATTTATATTAAGCCATGAATCAATTATTTGGGAAGTGGATACCAGGTATTTGGGAACAGGCAAGTGAGAAAGAAACATTTACATGACTACAAGAATCACATTCTTGGAGGAATTCAGATTGCTGCCACTAGAAGGATCTTCACAGGGGTTATGAGTGCTTAAGTTTTGACAGGGTTAGAGCGGGCTATGGAAGGTGACAGTGGAAGGCTCCATAGAGGAGGTTCGCACTTTTGTTGAAACTTACAGAATATGTAGACACTCAGGAATTGGGCAGGTAAGAGGAGGCAATCTAGGCACACACACACACACACACACACACACACACACACACACACACACACACAGAGAGAGAGAGAGGAAGAGCAAAAGAAAATCTTGCTTTGGTGATTCCTTTTCCAGCAAGTACATTTGGGTCATTGGAGGTCCCAGCTGCCTTTACTCTGCCTCCTACACACATCAGATGATACATGCTCCCTTTCTCATGTTAGTTAGTAAGAGTAAGTGCTGATAACCTGAACCTTGGATGCTCGGGAGGCAGAGGCAGGCAGATCTCTGTGAATTCGAGGCCAGCCTGATACAGAGCAACCTGTATAATATACAATACAAGCAATACAGAGAAACCTGTCTCGAGAAACACAAAACAAGCAAACTAAGATCACTCTGTAGTTTATGAGTTATATGGGAGGGATTGTGAAAAGGGGGACAAGTGACTATTGGACAGGTATGTAGGGGCCTGCATGAAGAAACTTGCATTCATGAAGGTCCTCAGGTATTTCTGTTGAGTTTTACATTTAAATCAGATATCCGATTTAAAAAAAAAATGAGATATCTCAAAGCAAATGGAAGTATTTGAAAATTTAAGCTAGGTAAATATGTTTGCAAGACAAGGTCTTCTACTTGATACAAGGTAATAGATAACATGGCCACATTATTTGCTTTGTGGCTTCTCTCCAGTAAGAATAACTGGCCACTGGGCTTCATGGGCACACTAGAGATGGCAACTGGCCAATAACTGGTGCTTTTGATTAAGAAAAGGCAAACCCTGAGGTTGGAGAGATGGCCCAGTAGTAATGAGGAGTTTGGTCCCCAGAACTTATACAGCAGCCTATAATTCCAACTCCATGGAATCTGCCACCTTGGGCCTATGTGGGCACCTGCACTCACATGCACCCCCCCATACAGACATATATGCACACACACACAATTGAAAATAATAAGAATAAATTTTAAAAAAAGGAGTAAGTTGAGTGCTTGGCGGGGGTCGGGGGACAGACCTTTACTTTCCTTCCTTATGTATTTAAAAATTCTGAAAAATAGGTCTAATTCTCCTTCCTTTATTTTTATTAAAAAAGATCACCCTACAGATAACAAGGGATTGCTAAGCTTTCCTGGAGCACATGTACTGAGAGCAGCAGGCTATACCCTGGAAGCTGTCTGGTCTCCCTATCTCCGTAGTAATACAAGAGGACTGCAGCAGCTGGATCTCATGCATAGGTTTCTGCTGGTTACAGAGACGCGAGAGCAGCATTCAAACTCACCAGATGAGTTCAATCAACTTGGTGCAAACACTGCATACATAATCTATTAGTTTACCCCAAAGAAACTGAAGCATTGAATTCAAGTAGAGTGAAGTCATCAGTAATAAAGGGAAACAGAAAAGGAAAGAAAGGAATTGGTACGATACTGTTTTTATAAAAGGACCAAGCATCACAATATTCTTCCATTTGTGGTGGAGAGAAAAAAATCATATTCAGACTATAAACCATTCTTCCATATGCCTATAAACACATAAATTTAAAAATATGGGTTTGATCAGCTTGCTGCTCTCAAATAAGACAGTAGGGCAAGAATATAAAAACAGCTGTTCAGGATTCAAAAAATTCCCCCTATGGGGACAGAGCATGACTACCTGGAAAAGTAATCTGGCCCTAGAAAAAACACAAGAGGAAAGTCATGGAGTGACTCCATGCAAAACATGCCATGTCTTCTACCAAGTGTGAATATTCTAAGATAGTATTTGGAATAGAATACAGGTATTTTACTCACAATCTGGGACTATCTTTCAATCTTGGTCTTATTTTTTCCATTGCTAAACCTCTCTCTGCCCTTAGTTAACAACCGTGTAGTTTTCTAAGTGTTTTATATGTTAACGTTAGGAGTCAACATTTTGTTTTTAGTTTTCAGAGCTTCTCAGTAGATAACTAAACTAATAAAATGTTAAATATCATAGTGTCATGTGCATAGCAATCAATTGATTTTATTTTGTGTTGAAGTTGAACAAATTTAGCAATTTGATGCTAGATTTATACACACTTTGTAGCAATGTTATCAACCATTATAGCAACAACTTAAACCACAAATATATTGATGCAAATGTTTATTTCTATGATCTTCCCAGAGTTCACTTCACTAATCAATTATACTATTCTTTTTTAAGGACCCTAGTCTCGGAATCCCTTTTAAGCCAGAACTTCAAAAAACTACTATCAAGCTATAGGGGTGGACACTTGAATGGGTTTTATTTATAATTCTAATGTAATAGCTTTGGAAAATATCTCAAAGTCTGAAAATTACATTAAAAGATAAGGTTTATTATTCTGCTCATGTAAATGAAGAAGCGAGTCTATCAGCTAATAGATGACTAAGAACGTTGGTCTGACTCCTAACATTCCTGTTATCTGGAGCTACTTATGTTTGAATTTTTCCATCTTGTTTATATCATAGAGACTTGGGCCTCTAGAAAACACCAAAACATCATGGATTTAAGGCTAGTGCACAGTATTTGACTCCTGAAGGCACTTAAATGCCATCTGGTCTGTCTTCTTGCTTTTATGTAAAGTAGTAGCAGGAATTCTGGGAAATCTCCTACTTGACATATTCAGAAGCAACACCAAGTTCTGATGTACCTCAAACCTCTTAAAGGATTAAACACTAACTACATCCACATCACTAATTGGGAGGATAGACTTTCTGTACTTGTTTACTTGTTCTTTACCAGGGAAAGTAGAGTTTGGATCCTTTGTTTGTTTGTTTGTTTGTTTATGAACCAAGGCAAGGATTACAGCAGTGCATGACCACACCCAGATAATCCTGGCCATTCTTACAAAAAATAGCTGTATATCTATAAGAGGTGACCAGTAATGGTTTTAGAATGTTGAATTCACTCAATCCATATATCAAGACATTTATGTTATTTGGGAATTTCTTAGTCAATTACATAGTCTCTGTCTAAAGGTAGTATCTTTAAGCAAGCCCTTCTTAGAGGACTGCTGATTTGGACAGAGCTTAATTTTACAATGGGTTTCATTTTTTTTTTTTTGCAGTTATCTATAGTTATAAATAACCACCATATGTGAAAACCTTCACAGCAAGGCACTATATACTTTTTTTTTTTTTGAATCCAACCTTACTCTGCTTTGCTCATAATTCCTCCAAAAAGAGTGCTTCTTGGAACTAAACATCAGTCTGAGCATGGTACAGTCTTTTGGCTGCTATGGTCTGGAGAACTTAAACTAGTTTTATGGAGCGTCTGTGGTGTCCCAGACAGTATCTATGCTCACATCATCTGATTCCATTCAAATCTGTGAGGACGATGTTGTTGGCATTTCCCAGACTCATACACCAAGGCTCAGAGAAGTAAAGAAACACAAGTGGTTAGTGGTGGGCCAGGATTTGTGTGCCTGTAAAACTCTAGCTGTTTCTTCT